CCCAGCCTCGGGTATCAGTCCTGTGGCTCTGGGTTCGGCAGACGTCCCAGCTGGAGTGTGCTCATGCATCACAAATCAGTCAAGTCACCTGGGCTGCGCGTCACTGACATAGCCATCTTCTTTCCTGAATTAACGCTAACAATAAACCACAAAAAAAGCTTCCTCTCCCACGGCTACCTGCCCGAGGTTAATAATTCGCTAACATAACATTCAGCAACATCACCTGAGTAACACACCTACAGTACCTGCCTGCCTGCCTGCCTACCTGGCAACAGATAGATTTACCTTTAAAACCCCGTCTTCGTGGAGGTGTGTCTTTAAAACCCCTTAAGCCAGACGTCATCTAGGATGCATGGTTAAAAACTTTATCATGACGCATTCCAGAAGACTTTGCTTTAAGACCACTGTATATGTCATCGAAGTCGTTCCTCTAATCCCCCCTTTGACACGCCGTCCACGAGGTAGTGTGTCTGTCATCATTTCCTCGGTAACCAACTCCTCCACTTTCCTCCATTTTTCCCGTTCTTCAATAGTGCATATATCCGCCTCCATTAATTCACCCAACACCCCCGTCCCACAGTTTTCCTAATGGGTACATCATTAGTTCTTTCCCCATGACCTCTTCTCTCTATACATGATCAATCGCGTTCTTTCTCCTCGTTGTCACACCGAGAAGGCTTTTTCCCTCTCCATAACAGCTGTTGCCAATCTCTCAACATGAGCTGTTCAAGGGTGGCAGTGACCTACCCGGGAGACGGAATGTCACGCTCTTAATAATGAGTAATGTGAGTGAGACAGTTTTACCCAACACCATTAGGGTAATCATGACAGATTATCAATTTATTACACTATAACAGTAATGACAAAAAATAGATGAAATTATGATTAATTCATCAGTAAGGGAAGGGCAACACCACCAGATAAATTATTATCTGCAGACAAGTATACAAAGGACACTAAATAAGTTAGGCAATTGAACCTTAGGATCACTTGATTAGGCATACCACCTTACTTCACACCACTAAAACACACTCACGCTACCGAGGGGGAGTCAAGATAGCCTGTTTAAAATCACCAGGTCAAATAAGCTGGGGTGCCTAATCTTCAGGTGACCGGACAGAAACTTGCCCACCCGCTGTGAAAGAAATGTTTACAATTCCCCTAAAAATGTCACCAAACCATATTAAACACTTTCATCAGTCGAGTCTGAATGATCATGAACATTGATCGGTTTGGGAGTCTGAGTTGCCTGTACAGTACAGCATTATACAGCAGCCACCACTCCCATTTCTACCATACGGAGTTCACAAAAGCAACCCCTTAGTCTTGATGGCGTTCTTTTATAATGACTTAGTTAATTAATATCAGCTATTTAAAGCCAGTCAAAAAAATCGTTATATACAGTACGGCAATCTATAAACATCAGAGCCGGGGGCCAACCTTACACCAACCGGGGTACATCACTACTTAACCGGTGACTGTTAAAAATCAGGTACAAATACTCAATAACACAAACATTTACACATCACTTTTAACATTTAGTAAACCACAAGCTTATTTCATGTGATTAAAACACCCTAAGGTTACCTGGAGGGGTTGGGTTAGGTTAGGTTATCGTCTGCTGTTTTATCATGTGAAGTAAAATAACAATGGTGCCAAATCTTCCGGGTGATCGAAAATAAGTTCGTGTCACCAAAAATAAAATGTCACAATATGGAATCCTGGAAAGACGTGTAGATTCTGGTCGCACTTTCAACGTCACACACAAAACATTTGAATCTGACATTTTAAGGATCGCCTCAACATTAGACACCCTAACATATCTCTCCACAAATTAGCATTAAAATAAGTAATCTCCAGGCGAAATAAACTGGGGTGTTTAATCTTCAGGAGATCCATTTTCTTTGTTTACGTCGGTTCGTTTTGCCTGGTGCGTCAACAAACCACATCCGTCAGACACACGAACCATATGTAACTCATAACTACAACAAAAACACTCGTCTTCTTCTTTAAGGAGTCTGGTAATCGAATCTTCCGGTAAAATGTCTTCATTGTAACAAAACGCCAAAGAATTGTAACGTTACAATAATATTTTCAGGAAGAATTTCAAACGGATACAGTCCAATACATTTGCATACGTTCCTTTTATGATTCAGATAAGCATTATAAACATGGCCTTGCCTCGTCAGTATATGATTACCTAAGTGCATCACATTTCGGTTTGATGGCAGCTCATACGAAAACTGATGAGTAACAACCCTTAGAAATTTTTATAACTGCCTACAATAACCAGATAATTACCTCATCTAAATTTCTTTCAATAACACTGCAGATTTCACGAGCTTGTGTTGTAGGTGACCTCATCAGTTAGGTCAGCTACAACAACCACTTAACCACCCTTGACGTCTTTTTTATGGTTTAGTATGTAACATATTCGAGATTTAAAGTAATCATACTCTAGGCATTCTTTCTATAACCCTAATCAGCCTCAGACCAAACCATTACATTCACTCTCCCTCAGACACTAACTACAATCGTCTGCCGTCGAGTAACCCATACCCAATAATGATGAACATTCACGAACAAGTCTACCCGTTCACAGGGGACCCAACTGCTTTAGTTGGAAAAGAAAATGGTCTTCCTGCATCACACACATACACACAGTTCATCACTTCACCGTATAAGAAATATTTCCACCACTGTACTTGAAAAGGTTAACGTACTCAAGAGTCTGAGAAACTTGACATGTTATAAAATCACCCGGTGACATGTACTTTGGTTCCCACACCATGGTCCCCTCCCTCCCATACAACTCTACGGCTTTCTCTCGCCAGCTGCTATTACCCACCATAATGCCACTAGGTTTTCCTACTCTAGGACACGAAAATTGCACATGTAGAATAATTCCACGTCTATTCAGGAAATACACGTTGCTTCCATAAGATGAGTACACCCAACGAGCACTCCTAATGAACACACTGACGTTCGTTACTAACTTCAAGACTTCAACCACTCTTTCTATCAAGTTTCTTCAACTCCCATGACCTGTCCCTCCTCCTGCAGACAGACAAGAGTCACAGGTAGGTCCGAGTAGAGTAGTGAGCGCGGTCCTTATCACAACAACAAACTTGGCTGACTCCTTCACTCCCCCGTATGTTATCATAATATCACCCAACCCCTGAGACGACACATTATCCGCCTCCCAAGTAAGTCACCACGATATTTTTACTAGATCTTCCGCACCACACAGCCCCGCCAGGTCTGCTGACAATTTGTGAGTCACATACAACTGGGTGGTACCTTATAAGTACAAATATGGGCGTATATAAAGACAGAAAAGGTTTGTATCCCGATCAACTTACCTCCTCGTAAACGATCAGCCGTGGCTTCATTATCCTCGTCTGACGAAGATTTCAGTCTTGAAATAATCCTCTTAAGAGCCCCTTCAGCTTCAGGCGAGGTGTAATCTGCCAAAAAGTTGAGGGAGGAGTCGACGCTGGGCGAGTGTGATGGCCCCCACCACCAGCCAACTCCCACTACACCCTCCTTTACCACCCCACAACACACACCTTTCCCAAGTTATTTTACTGCACTACAAAATGACGTTTTCAACTTGTTCTGTTGTAGAAGCACAACACAATACCTTTATTTAACTCCTTGAATTGCCAGTTTCACTTCAAAACGCCACGCCAAACCGCCGGACTTTGTCACATAACCGGAGTCCCCATCTCAGTCGATTTCTGAGCATCTGATGCGGTTTTGCAAACTTCTACTCACGTCAGCCTGTGCACAAACGCATGTTTTAACCATAAACGCACTTTGAATGTCTGCTGTCCACTTCAGACCCGAACTTTTGAGGAAAAACTGCAGAGCAACTCCACACCGCCTTTCTCTATTAGGCCTACGTGGTTACGCTGAGAGTGGCTGGGGACGAGAGTGATGTGGGGTCCTCCCCCGGCACACACAGTGGACTCTCCCGAACACACAAACTTGTGGCGGACACCAAACTGGCACACCGACCCCGTTAACTAGAACTTAACATCAACTACGCTTACACTTCATTGTTTTTTATGAACATACAAAAGCGAAGGGGGAAGCAACAAATACACTTAACAAACGAATAAGAACACATTTAAAACCTTAGGATGTGTAGTGAGGGATAATAGTAGAGAGCATCTTGCCACCGCCATTTATTTGATAACTGTGCAACTCTGGGCACAAGAGCAAGAAAATATTACTATTAAAACATCATTTCAAACATTTCCATCAATACACAGAAAGTAATTTATATACATTTGTCCAGGGCACGAAAATTTTCAGTGGTGGTCGGTAAGGAGTGACTCTTGACGACTTTGGAAATTCCATACAGTCAAATCCTTCACTCTCTGGACTATCTTGTGTAATAAGTATTCGCAAATACTATAACAGCTTTAAATTGTACGAAATTCACGTAATAAGACCTAAAAACTCATTTTTCAGTTGCCGATATATATCTTCTAATTTCTCAGTAAATAGGACCGACTGGGCGGATATATTCTTCCGGGGTGATCTTGAATGGTGCTACAATATGTACAGATAGTACTTACCATTTCACGTCCACAGATGAATGAGATTTTGAGAGATTTTATCAGAGTGACACACAAACACATCCGCCATGGAAAATACTCAACTACGAATTTCAGATGACAATGACGTCACAGTGTTTGCCTCACGATAGCCAATCAGGTGAGAGTTAATATTTTTATCGGTATATTTCAATCTTTTTAAATAATATACTAACTTATTATATCTTTATTATTTTCTTATTTTATAATATTTATTTTTTTATAACCTTATATATTTATTTTTGTTTTATTTTAGTAGGAATTATATCTTTAACTGTTTAATGGTATATGATAAATAATATTGGAACACCATCGTCTTCCATGGTAAACATGTATCAGCTGATTGTTGTATCTCGGCTAAGCGTAAGTGTTTTTCTAGTATTATTGTAATATAACCACTATTCTGTACTCTTAATGATGTACCAGTATATTCTGTATATAATAAAGAATATGATTTTAATAAATTGGCTTGTTGAATTTGACGATTGATGGTAGTAGGAAGGTAAACGTATATGATAGGTCAGGTGTAGTGGGCGACCATGGCGGCCAGCGGGACGGTCAAGGTGTCACCCAGCCAACAGGTCCAATTTTACCTAGAAGTAAACTTAACCTTCTGATTAACGATAATATGTGAATGGTAAGGTAGATTGACTATGTAAATTCAGTGTTTCAGGAATAAGTTGAAATATTAACTAATTTACGTATGACAGTATAGGGTATATAGTTTAAGTAGGTCCTCCTGAAGTACGAAAACCAAGTAAATGAAAAAAATAATTCTTTTTATTAACTATAGCACCCCTTTTATTTCTAGTTCTTTAATGGAAAGGTAACAATGATATACTATTTCAGATTAATTTAAGAAGTGTAGTTTCAAATCATAAATGGAATAGGTAAGATTGTTAGCCATATGGGTGTTGATGTCATTTAAAGGTTTTCGGATATCAGTAGGACCGGTCAAACCTCAGTTAGGTCAGGTCAGGTCACTAGCCTTTGCTTTGATGATTCTTGAGGTTATTTCTATGTGACTGACTACTGATAACCTTTATAGCAGTAAATTAGTTTTAACTTCATTCTATTTATTTTTAATATGTTCAGACTCCTCTGTTAGTTTTAATGCAAAAAAACTGTAACCATGAATGGGAATATTGAAATAAGAAAGTGAAGTTAAAATTTTGTACATGAAGTATCCCAGTCATTTCAAAATTGTTGAAATAGGGCTATGACATAGGTCATTTGGTACTAATTTTCAAAAGAAATGCCTCTTAACCCTTTAACAGCAGCCGTCATCGTCGAAATTAGCTATAGGGCCGGTAGGCATCATCAATGGAAGTTAGTTGTAGGGACGGCAACCATCATCAGTGGAAGTTAACTAAAGGGACGGCAGCCATTATCAGTTGAAGTTAGCTGTAGGGATTGCGGCCTTTTGCATAAATTTTACCCGCCCTGGATCTTACGACACAATTTCTGTCGGTACTGTACTGGAGAAATATTATTTATTTAGGTTACAATTGTTTAACATAATGTTGATGATGCAGACGCTCTTAGCGATGCATTTGTTAGTGTGTGTGAACCTTGTGGGAGAAGCTTAGGGTGTTGTTAGGGATGGTAACTACACACAGGGGGTGGGCCAGGTCAGTATCCTCTTGCATTATCTGGTCCAGTATTCCCACCCACTCTCAGAATACAAGATGTTCCTTCATGCTTCTTGTGAATTTTGTATATAATACTGTAAAAAAGTGCAAGTGAAGAAAAATATATGTAATTAGTGAACAAAGGTGTTCGTGAGTTTGTGTACTAAAAATTGTAAGTGATTAAGTTATTAATTTAATGGAAGGTGAAAAAACACGGGGTGGTAGACATTGTATGCAGTCCTCCAAGGCGAAGAGAGGCTCAAGGCTGAGGGGGAGAAAAGGAAACCTCCTGCCTAAGAAAATCATCAAACGTTTTGAAGAGTTGAGTGATGTTAGTGACTTGAAAGAATGGCATGATGGTGTTAAAGATACCGATGAGCAAAGTGATTTATCCAATGAGACCGGAGAACTAAGTTTTGTGCAGGTTGAGTGTAATGATAAGAAAGGTATAAAAAGGAGGGAACCACAAGTGAGGCGTGCAGCTGCATCATGCTCCTCGTGCATCTCCGACACACCACCAACGTGCCTCACCTTCACCACCGTTTCCCACCTCACCACCAAAACCACGCCCTCCATCACCAGAACTCGACCCCGCTGTATGATCTGAAAATCCTTCTGCACCACATACCCCATATTTAGGGACACCTGGACTCAAGATTCCAGAACCATTAGACTTAAACAAATTATGAAACAGTGTGGGAATTTGAGAATTGGTAGAGAATTATGGGATGATGTTTAAAAATGTGTGGAATTAGAAAGTCAAATGGATAAAAGCACACAAAGATGGCAGTGTGAAAACATATGGAGCCAGTTGCATTTCATATATTTGTAGGAAATATTTATGACTGGCTGACTGCACAGCTTAGAGGAATGGGAAGGTTCATACTATTTCCTCCACTTACCAGCTAATTAGCCTTCCAGACAGTAATTTTGTTCTTTATTATAACCTTCATTGACCAGTGTTAGTACAGGAGGAAAGTGGAGTACGTACCTTTAAAAAACCTACAATGTTTGGTAGGGTCACATTGGATAACCTCTTTCTCACATCTGACCCTGGTGAGTCATATGTGATACCACTGTACTGTACCACCATCCCCCACCTTATTTCACCTGAGGATTAAATACCCTCATGCTACCTGGGGAGTTAGGTTAGGTTTGGGTGTCCAATTATCTGGTGAAATAAGCTCGGTGTACTGCTCCAAGTGAAAATTGAGATGACCAGTGAACAGGAGTGAAGTGGTGAGGGCCAGAGTTGTCACAGCGTCAGTGGTATGGCGAGTCAACATTTACTATTAAAAGGGCGTCACCCCAGTCTTTCATGTACCTTACAAGATTTCTCTGCAGGAGAGGCCATCAGTGCAATTGTATGGAATATACTCCCTGAGGATTTTGTACTCAGTCTATTTATAGTACAGTACAGGATTCTCAGCTGAAAAGGCCAATGGTATGGCTGCTTGACCTCCGCATCTCACTTGAGTTTTATTCTCAAGGCTTTTCATGGAATTTTTTTTTTACTAGGAGGTCCTGAAGGGAGATGCTGTGTTTCTTGGAATCTTAATGGCTAATGAGGTTTTTGTGTTAGTTTAATTATAATCAGGGTTTAAATTGTATGTCTCTGTAGTTGATATTGGACTAATTAGGGCAAACCATTTACACTATAGTAGTTGAAAATCCGTTAAAACCGAATGTCCTATATTGTCCTTTTTGGGGGGGGGGGGGTTTACTGTACTAGAATTCAAGTTTTATGTTTTGTCCCTCACATGAGAAGATAAATTTTCACATGGAAGCATAATTAGACATATTGGTGCTCATTCTAGTTGTCTATATGCATTGACGTTGACAGAAAATATACAACCCCGAAATAACAACATTTTGTGATACATTTTTTATTGTGTTTGGAACTAACCACATTAAATGATTTTCAGGTGATGACCGAAGAGACGAAGAGAAAGACAGCATCAAGCGGGATCATGTCCTCCAACGTATACAGTTATGGATGACGCGAGTCCCTTGGAAGATATCTGTATCATGTTGGTAAGTATGCATTATCTTTCTCAGTTGCGGAAATCTTTTTTGTCCTGCAGCGGGCAAAGGTATTTTTTTAAGAGTGACAGGTTAGTAAAAACAACTTAAGTAAATATGTTTTTTCCATGAATTTAAACATCACTGTGCAGTTTCAAAGTATCACCTTTGTTCTTGGTAAAAATAATTTTACTCCAGCACATAGCTCTGAAGTTCTCGTAGTTTGCCACTCATTTCCAGCTTACCACACACACACACACACACACACACTCCCCCTTTTCTTTATCTCTTTTCCAACTGCCTTATCCATTATTTTGTAGCTTAACGCTTTTCACCAGACAGATCTTATTGGTGCGTTGACCTTTTGTAGCTTTGTCATCATGTCTCATACCATATTACAGGTGGGGGTGGGGGGGGGGACTGTTCTTCCAATTATCCATCTATCCTTCCCTGTCATAATCATCACCATACAAAGAGGAAGATTAAAGGCTATGGCAGAAGGTGTTACCCAGTCAATACCTCACTACTATGACATTCACAAAGTTGTCACATCCACTTCACTCCAATGCTCTACTTGACCTATAAAACTAAAAGTGTCTGCCCTCTCTCTCTCTCTCTAGATTGGGATGGATTATGTGAAGGTGAGGATTAGGCACCCCAGCTCATTTTTCCTGATGATTAAACACCCTAATGCTAACCTAACCTCTCGGTATCATTAGGGTGTTTAATCATCAGGTGAAATTTGCTGGGATGTCTTTATCTTTTTTATGATCTATTGGAACTACAGGGTAATAGATATCTATTTTCTGCCATATCCTGTATTACAAGAGCCAACTTGGATACCGACTCCAGTAGGAAATTAGATTTTAAGATAAAATTTTCCTTTCGCAAACTGAAGTTAATATTTTTTTCAACAGATTAAAGAGGGAGAATGGTTAGCTCCCAAACTGAAGAAGGAAAGTCTTTGGCCCCATCCATATCTACATACAGTATTGTACTGTATTATGTATTCAACATACATTCCATCGTGTACTGAGCCAGACTGTGTTACCGGGTACAGTACTTACAAAGAAACACTACACCTTCAAGAAAACCCATAGAAGTCCACTGTTTTTTGCAAGAGAAGAATGGAGATGGATACCAGCAACAACAATGAATGAAATGAGAGAAATATGACAGTTGCCATCAGTATAGAACTAACACTCAGGTAGGAAATAACATGTAAGGTTCTAATTATTTATAGAAACACCACCCTGGGAACACTATTTGTTTATCGGATAGGATTTCCTCCGCTGCACCAATACATTACAAGATTTTAAGCCATTGTTATATGCAAATCTGCTTTAACCCATAACTGGTCATTAACATTCAAGTATGTGATCATCAGTGTTACTAACTCTGGTAATTCACGTACTAGAACGTTTTCCAAATACAGTATACTTTTCCCGCGCCTTTAAAACAGAGTCTAGTTACCATAATCTGTTGGTTGGTGGTGTCTGGCATCTTATGCAAACGTTTCCCGCCACTCGGCCTTTAGAAACCCCCACCCCAACCCACCCTCCCCTCTCCACCCACAGTCAAGGCTGTGGGACTATGCAGTATAGTCTAGATAGCCATGGCGTGTGAACGTAACCAGTCACTCAATCAGGATGAGGTGTAATCCGAATTATTTGGTAGGGGTAACGATGAACATGGTAGTGACAGAGAGACATGTATTGATAGTGATATTGAAGGTGATGATAGTGAGTGACCCGGCCTACGTGTTTGAACAAGAGGAAAGCGATGACGATGAGTGGCAAGTGGAGAGAGGGTTGCTGCCCTCCCCATCTCCAAGAACGTCCAGTACTCCCTCCATTTCACCAACCCCTACTACTCCCACTGCATGATTACGTCTGCCCAGTACAAGTCGAAGGTAGAGGATGAGGTCATCTGTTTCCTCCTCAGGGTCAACCAGCCCACATGATGAGGATGATCCTGACTCACGACCACACTCGACCTCCAATACCTCCACCACAAACCAACCGACACGCGGCAGACGGCAACACGTAACTCCCGGCCCTCCCTCCCCACCAGGCGACGGGCGCCAACACGCCGCCATGGTCAAGGAAGAACACCTGTTGTTTGTGCCAGAGTTAGTCCTGCCGACAAGTGGGCTTGGACTGATGGGCTGATTTTGTACCCAAATATTTAGAATTTGATGCATCAAATTCAGGAATAAAAATACAAGAATTCGCAGTAGACAGCCGAGAGAGTGCCTACTTCAACTATTTCTGGAATGATGAGATTCTTGACATTATGGTGAGAGAAACGAACCGCTACATTTACTTTATGAGAGGGGGTAAGGTGTTAACTTCACAGTCTCGTGAGTACCAGTGGTATGACGTTAAAGGAGCCGAGATGAGGGCATTCCTGGTCTTGGTGATGCTGATGGGGATTGTGAAGAAAAATAATTACAGGGATTACTGGAGCACGGACCCTCTCATCCAGACACCGATTTTCAGCAAAGTCATGTCAGTGAATAGATTCACCAATATATTGAAAGGACTTCACTTTTTTGACAACCTGCAGGGCTTCGTGAACAATGACAACATGAGGAAGATTCGGGCCGTCTTTGATCACCTTCAAAAGAAATTCAAAGAAGTGTTTTATCCATACCAGAATGTCGTCATTATGGAGACCCTGATGTTCTGGAGGGTAATATTGGGATTCGCCGGTATATTCCCTCTTAAGTGCCACAGGTGACTGCAAGACTGGCTTCTTGCTAGATATTGTACTCGACACCAGAAATGCAACAGAAATGACTGATGATATGAGCCTGGGAAGAGCATCAGCTGTTGTAAAGACTCTCATGGCTCCGTTACTCAACAACAACCACTGTCTTTTTGCGGGTAGCTGGTACACAGGACCTGCTCTATTTGAGTTTCTCCTCTCCATGGGTACATGAACATGTGGGACAGTAAAGAGGCAGAAGAAGCACATCCCGCATTTTGATCCTCTACCAAACAAGGGAGACGTAGTTTATAAGCAAACCAAGCATATCCTGGCCATTATTTGGAAGGACGAGAGAGAAGTAGCCCTCCTTACGACTATCAACAACGTGATCCGCGCACAAGACAACGCATTATGAAGCCCAAGTGCGTGATACAGTATAATACTAACTTGCGTCTGGTTGATAAATCCGATGCAATGATTTCCTCCATTAAGTGTGCACGCAAATCCCTTAAATGGTACAAAAAACTATTCTTTCATCTTATGGTATGACCATGGTGAATGCACACATATTGTATATGGAAAAGTCGGGGGAAAAAAAAAACTCCAAAATTTTGCCATTGAGGTGATGCAGCAGCTGCATGAGGAGAATGTTGAGGAATGCCCAGTCCCTGGATGTTGTCAGCATGGTGATTTCCCTATGCTCCTCATAGGTCATCACTTTCCATGCACCATGCAGCCACGACCAGACATGAAGAAAAAGAAAGTCCAGAAGGCATGTCATGTGTGCAGTCACACAACACTAAGACCTAAGAAGCGCAGTGATACACGGTACCACTGTCATGAATGTGACATTGCCCTTTGCCTCGAACCGTGTTTTGAGGAATATCATATCGTGCTGCACTTCTAAAGAGAGTCAAAGAGAGAGCTAAGATAATATTAGTGAAATATTTGTAAATAGTAAAAATATTGAGGCCTGTATGAGTTGTGTATAATAAACTCACATTAGTATTAATGTAATATTATTGCTGTCATTAAACTATCCGTGTGCCATAGTAATTTAAGTACAATATAAGTGAAAAATATTAGTAAAAATGTAAGGAAAATAAACCGAGAGGGATGGAAAATACCTCCCCCTACCTTGAGTGAGCAGCGTTGCCCCATATAAAAAACATCCATATGTTTAATTCATAAATAATTTTTTAGTGTTATTTGCTATACTGCTGCATTCATATTTTCTTGTGTGAAAAAAAATCATTTTGTATATACAGTACATGGCTGCAAAACTGACCGGAAGTACTGTGACAGCACTGGGAGTGAGTAGGTTTAGCAATACTGTACTGCACTGCACCAGCCTGAGTTTTAAATGCCACACAGCACTTTTAGCCCTATCACAGTGGGAGGTTACCCTAAGCTGAATAAAATTGTCTGGCGGTAACAAGAATAAAATGGAAAGTGCGTGAAATGCAGTGAAAGGGTTAAACAAGGCCAGTTACTACTTTTGCTTGTAGTTATTGTTTTCTTAGGTCATTTGGGGGTTTTAGGGCCATAAAACAAAAATTTTATTTTTCTCAACCGGTGGGGGGGGGGGGGGTACCATGTATGTATAATAATCTGACCTTTTATGGGTTAACGTTACAGTATCCATAAATATGAATTTGAATAACACTTACTATCAAATGTAGGCCAGGTCTGCTTTTTAGAGTGATTATTCCTCCATCGAAGTTACTGTTGACTATGAAACTTCTTTTCTCAACTTATGAACTGCATTTGCCCTTTATAATTTAGTGGTTAATCTTTTCTTTGGGCAGGTGAAATGCAACACATTTATACAGAAATTATTTTTAATATATTTGTGAGCTAGACCATTCAACAGAACCCTCTGGTGGCCATAAGAGAAACCAAAGCCTTGCATACATCATAGTCTATTTTTCCCTTTAATTTTGTAAGTGCCTAAAGGTGGCATCACAGTAGCAGTTTTTGTTTCATATTTTGTTATAAATTTCCCTAAGGATTGTAATTTTTCTGAGCCCACCCTGTCACACACTCATATAATTCACATCATTCTGTAAACCCAGGGACTCATAATGTAAACAAACATATCAGTTACGTTTAAGAATATCAACATAAATAAAAAAGTACACAGGAAATTTTCAGTATATTAGATATGTGGTGCTGAATGTTTTAAATTGAATTTAGTTATCAAATTTGCATGATTACAAAGAATTTTACTGATATTCCAATCACCTTAGTTGGCAACACTGTCACTGCTGTAGGTTGTGGCATATTTTGGTACTAGGCTACAGCAACGCAAGTAGCAGGTAGAGTAGGAGTGGTTTGCGAGTGCAACAGTCCAGTGGGTTTTCCTTATTTGCTGCTTCTTTTACTAATTACGGTAATTTAACCCAGTGAGAATTGATATACAGTACTAGTTATCAGTCATCGGGCGAGCCCTCTGGTGTATTTTGCGAACTACAGTACAGTCGGCCCTTAACATACGCGGGGGTTAGGTAACAGAGATACCCGTGAATGTTAAAATAACATACACGGGGGTTAGGTAACAGAGATACCCGTGAATGTTAAAAATCCGTGTACTTTTGCTGCCCCCCCCCCAAAAAAAACCTGGCCCCCCATGTCCTTATTTACCGTATATACCTGTGTGTAGTTCGAGTTTTTAAGACCAAATTATTTGGCAAAAAATTGGGGGTCGACCTCTAAACAGGTAATAGTTTCGTTAGGTTGGAAAATATTTATCAGTAACTACCAGTAAACAATGGAAACGACGCACCAACCCACCACCAGCTGTGAGTGTCGGTACAGTTGCCAGGGCAGATCTCTTGCGTCATCATAGCAAGCCGAAAGTGGCCAAATGCATAGTATGGTAGCACAGGACGATGTAAAACAAAGTATTCATTTTTTAAAGTTTATTTATAGATACTGTACATAAATTTTTGTTCATTACATTTGAAACATCAATCTTTGTTAATTAAATTTGAAACAAAAGAAAACTACGATACCGTATTTTCATTAAAATATTACACCAGAAGTATATTTTACCTTAAATGTGACTGAATGAATATATTCTCAGAAATAAATATGGAAATGTAATATTTTGGCTGAAATGACGTACATATTACAGTGGAAAGCGGGATGAAATCATGACGAAAACAATGACTTTCGCTTTCTTTCGTTGTTCAAAAGATTTTACCGTAATCGCTTTCGAATGGTTTTCAGTTAAAAAACTGTTGTACCGTACTGTATTACAATAATATTCTATCCTATCATTAGCCTCATAATCCCACAACTGAAAACCATTCGAAAAGCGATTACGGTAACATCCTTTGAATGAAAGAAAGCGAAAGTCATTGCTTTCATCACTTTCCACTGTAATATTTACGTCATTTCAGCAAAAATATTACATTTCCATATTTTCAGAAATAAATAGTAGTTTTGTTTAAACGTAATGTACAGTATTTAATATTAAAATGCAAAAAGAGCTATAAAAACAATTAATACTGTACACCCGTAATGTACTGGCTGGCATCTCCACTCGTCCCTGCTCCCGCCAGTCACCACTCCTCACCGCTCTATCCCTCCGCCTCCTCCACATCGTCACTACTGTTGTATTACAATAATATTCTATCCTAATTCACTTGAATAAATACTAAGATATCATATTTCTGAATATTTTCATTAAAATCCTTCAGAATGATTTTTCTTGTCATCGTCTTAAGCACCAAACAGCTCCTCCCGGTCTTCTCCTTGAACAGGGCTAGAGGATACGTGTTTTTCGAATCGTTTTCAGTTAAAAAAATGTTACATCACATGTATATTTTACCTAAACTGCACCTGAATGAATATATTCTCAGAAATAAATAGTAATTTTGCTGAAACGTGATGTATTTCAATGTAAAATAGGATAAAGTACATGACGAAAACAAAAGACTTTACCTAACCTTCCGATGTTCAAGAGATGTTACTCGTTTTTTTAATAGTTTTCGGTTAAAATAGTGTTATTTTACAATGATATTTTATTCATACTGTGCTTGATATACTACATTCACGGAAATATAATATTTTTGCTGAAATGACGTACGTATTACAGTGGAAAGTGGGATAAAATCGTGACGAAAACAATGACTTTCGCTTTCTTTCGTTAAAAAGATGTTACCGTAATCGCTTTTCAAATGGTTTTCAGTTAAAAAACTGTTGCATCACAAGTGAATTAGGATAGAATATTATTGTAATACAACAGTTTTTTAACTGAAAACCATTCGAAAAGCGATTACGGTAACATCTTTTGAACGAAAGAAATCAAAAGTCATTGCTTTCGTCACTTTCCACTGTAATACGTATGTCATTTCAGCAAAAATATTACATTTCCATATTCTCAGAAATAAATAGTAGTTTTGCTGAAACATAATGTATTTCAATGTAAATTAGGATAAACTACATGAAAACAAAAGACTTTACCTAACCTTCCGATGTTCAAAATATGTTACTCGTTTTTTTAATAGTTTTTGGTTAAAATACTGTTATATTAGTGATATTCTATTCATACTGTGCTTGATATAATACATTCACGGAAATGTAATATTTTTGCAATTACAATGCTGATGTCAACTCAAGCGTGGTTACAGCGAGACTGACTGAGTGAGGGAGAGCTATGCGTGTGTGTGTGAGGTTGCGGGAGCGGGCGGTGTCCCGTGTGAGGTGCCGCGCGCGAGTTGAATGGCGCGCAATTTGAATGTACTTACAGTATATTACTTCACTGTACAGAATATTCCTCCGGCGGGGCAATCCGCGTATTTGCAAATCCGTGTATGCTAAACCCACGTATGTTAAGGGCCGACTGTATTCTGATTCGTTTACTTCACCCTCATAAATTATTTTAAGTGGATATGGTTATCAGTAGTGCTGGAATCACTCTTGTTTTATTTTCTTGATAAAAGCTTATGTTATGTAGGTAAATCAATTTCCTGTCCAGTTGGAAATATATAATCCTTTTTCCTCCGCTGTAAAAAAAAAGACCATGATATGCCACTGAACACACCAGGTAGAGAGAACTTCTTAACTTGCTTCTAGTATTTTTGCAGCTAAATGCTTCCTCTAATAATTTTGGACATATACCTCTGGGTAGATTGTTTGTCATACAGTCCTAAGGTTTAATGTTCAGAGACTTGTCCTAACTTCATGGTGTATAGCTCAGCACTGTTCATAAGTGATGTGGGGTCTGGCCTAAGGGTGCAAAAGGGATCGTCTGGCTACCTTGGAATCGAATCTCATAAAATAAAGTTCCATTTTGGGAAATTTAAACGGTGCCATTTATCCTGTCTTGGGATTTTTTGGATCTGCACATACTATTATCTTGTAAGGTATTAGTGTATGTTCCTTTATGTTTAGATGTTGGACATTTTGGAGTCCTGAGTGGGTCTTCTTATGGCTTACTGTCTGTGGAGTGTCTATACTGAAGGTTCACTAGTATGTTATCCATTTACCTGTTTCTTTCCTATAATTATTGTAGTCATGGCTAACCCATGCAAGCGTGGACAATGGTCATAAAATTTGGATGATGATGATTTTTCTACAAGTATTGTATCCTATTCACAGTATTTTTAAACAAAAGAATTTTTTTATCATAAGCTTTAGATTTAACTTTCATTGAATATTATACATATACAATAAATTATCAATATGGTGAACAAATGCCATTTTATTATCTTTTGTAACCTCATATTTTATAATCTGGATAAAGTTAATAAATGTCACATAATTTTTAGATTGTGAAATACAGTCATAATACTTTAAATTGCTCTCTCTACTATTAGACACACATAACGAACATTGAATAAATAGGATCACCATATTTTTTCCTCCATTTGCTTCCAAAGTTGCAAGTAATTTTTTGATATGTTGCAGAATGGCCAGAACAAAGGGCAAACACAGTCTCACCATTCACTGTCATTCTTTAACTAATATAACTTCTCCCATAAACCACTGGAAGACTGATTCTGCTGTCATTCACTAACACACTGCTCACTGGATATTCTTCATACCATTCTTCTATAATCTTTTTTATCTTCCCGTCTTCTGTTTATCTTTGAATTTTGTGCTCTTTTTCAGTAATCTCTCACTTCACACACACTTTACTAATCCATGGCTCAGTTTCTCCTACACTTCCTCCTCTTATTTTTCTTATTCTCTGCTTTGTATTTGCCTCCCCCCCCCCATCAAGACTTCCCTATCTTTTCCTTCTTTGACAAGGTTGTTATCTCTGTCCTTATGGTTCTCACTTCCTTTATTATTTTCTCTCCTCATCTCTTATGATTCAGTTCATTATTAATGTTCCAAATGCTGATGCATCTATTGTCAGGTACAGTCAAGTCAACCACCAAAGTCCTGTTGCCTCTCTTCCTAATCCATGAACCCCAAGATTGGACTCATGAATCTGAAGCATTTACGGGCAGAATAGTGCATCAGTGTCTACTGCTTTGGGTTCACAAGTCTGAATCTCAGAGATTGTTGAATAGCAGGAGAGGCAACAAGGCTTTTGTGGGTGACTGTATTTGAAACACCTGTACTGTACATTCTTATTTACATTTAGCTTTCTCATTGTCCCTTGTCCAACAATTTTCTGGGAAATTGTTGTTCACATACACTGTACACAGTTAACTAATGTACTGTACAAGGTATTAAAATATGTATAGCATGGTTTTCTTCCCACATATTTCAAAATAACAATACAAAAATAAAAACTGCATTGATAAATTTAAAGCAGAGATAAGTATGCCAACGTACATTACGTATTTTCTCGTTTACAGATGCTTAGAATGCTGACGCCAAAAATGCAGTGCGTGGCTGATTGCGATGGTTGTGACTGCCTTCGTGTCATTTACCACCTAGAAATAACTCGGAGACATGAAATTGTTATCTTCAATATGGAGATAAAAGCTATTTTAGTTTTTAAAATTGGCAGAGGTGTTAGCCATATGTTAAGTATAAGTAGTGTACAGTAAAAACCCAATAATTCGTACCTCTCAAATTCGAAATCACTCATAAGTCTTAAAGTTTTCTTATTACAAAATATTTATTACAAATTTCATATTTGGTACAATTTTGAAATACTGTACTGTATATGACATATCAAAATATTTTGATACATACCCTGTATGTATATTACAATGTTTGTAATATCTGGTAAAATTGTAAATTACGAGATATTTATGATTATGTGTGATGTCCATGCAGCCATTGGATGCGAACGCCCTACCTTAGTGTAAACAAATACAATACTGAACTATAGGTGTCATGTGAGCTGGTCATGGCATTAATGTCAGTTCAAGTTGGTCAATCGTGGAGTGCACATCTATGGTCTACTGCACAAGCTTATTCCACTTGTTTTTCCATCATTGCCCACTGTTTGGGCCATTATGTCTTACACGGTAACCCTAAATCTGGTACTGTACTTAGAAATGTTTAAATTTTGATTGGGGCAAATAACAAAAAAGTACCAAAGTGGTGTTTTTGTTTTTCCTCTCAAATTAATGTACAGTAAAGCTTGTTATAGTGGATTTGTCATCATCATCATCATTCATGTTTGCTCCAAAATTGAAAAGTGTCGAGTCTGTCGTCCTCATATCTGAAGTTGACCTTTCATTCCAAACATTTTGAGTACTGTATGTTTATAAATTCTGTCAGATTGTGTATTTAGGGACACAGCTTGTAATTGCATCACAGTCTCTTATCTTCCCTAGGCCCTCTTTCTTTCAGTTTTGTCTTTGAATTTCCTGACAGTTACAGTATTTCCTCATCCCTAATTAAATAATAAAAGTCTCACTTATCTTATTCTATATATTTTCAGTTCAGTATTTCTTTTATTTCTCTAATCAGGCTTAATACTTTTTAATATGTTTGCCTATCAATATTGACTATTATTTTCCTGTAGTAGCATATTTTGAAGGCCTCTAGCCACCTGGTGGCTGCTGAAAGTGTCCATGCTAGTGACAGATGATTGTACATTGCACTTCAAGCCTATTTCTCAAAGTAAAATTAATTGCCTTTTGTAACATCTTTAAAACTGGCCCATGCCATTTTGGCTAGATCCATTTTTTTAATTTCTCATTCACATCAACCATCACAACTTAATCACTTCTCAAATATTAAAAAAATTTTGGCTCTTTAAGTTCCCAGCATATGTCCTCCTGCCAGGCTGAGGTGCGTTAATGATACTCAAAATTCTCAATTATTAATATATACAGTACAGGGGCCCCCAAATTTGCGGATTTTTATTTTGCTGTCCGCTATTATTCGCGTATGACACACTGGATGTACCCAAGAATGTGTGTAGGCAGTTTTAAAGTTGCCAGCATTTTCGCGGCTGGGACAGAGAGCCATTCGTTCTAGAGACAGTAATTTTCTTTATCTGTATTGTAAATATATGTGTGTGTGTGTGTAGACACACACACAAAACACATACAAATGAATAATAATGGGAAAATATTCTCACAAACAATCAGAAACAAATTTATTAACAATGTGACAGTCTACCCTCAAGTATGTGCTTTATTTATTAAACCATGGACTTGAGGGTAAACTCACATTTTTTATAAATTTGTTTCTGATTATTTGTGAGAGTATTTTCCCATTATTATTTATTTGTATGTGTTTTGTGTGTGTATGTCTACACACACACACACACACACAATACAGGGGTACAGGTAAAAGAAATAATTGTCCTAAGGGCAAACACACAAAGGGAATATATATTTTTTCGTACACAGTAAAAAATCCCCCCCAGCTATTGTTATTCGGATTTGGCGATTCGCAGCCATTTTGAGAACCTAAACCCCACGAATTTGGGGCCCCTGTATATACAGTACAGTATGTATCATGAAACATGAACTGTAAACCCATAAAAAGAAAGAAAACTAAACTCGAACATGGTACAGGTTGACAATCCCTTATCCAAAATCCTTGGGGCCAGAGGCATTTCAGAATTTTTCGGTTTTCAGAATTATATATATATATATATATATATATATATATATATATATATATATATATATATATATATATATATATATATATCCCACCCGGGCACAAGTCACTGACCCACATTGGGGCCTGGGGGACGAAAATATAATAATAATTGTAATAATAATTCATAGGTCTAGGACGTGTTTCTCACTTTATCTTTTTTCATTCTTGTATTTCTTTATTATTATTATTTTATTAATACAGTATTATTGTTATTATTATAAATTTTATTATATTTTATTATTATTGTTATCATTATTATTTTATTTTGGTGTATTTTTAATTAAAATTTTTATTTACTATGAATAATAATTATTATATTATTATAATTAGCATTATTATTATTATAATTAGTATTACTATTACATTTTTGCCTCCCAGGCCCCGATGTGGGTCAGTGATCTATGCCTGGTGTGGGCTAATCCCTGTTTAAAAAATAAATAAAACAAATATTTGCTCCACAAAAAAAATTTCGGTTTTCGGAATTTCGGATAAAGGGTTGTCAACCTGTACAGTACAGTATACCAAAAATACTGCTGTGTTGAGAACTGTTCACTATTCCAGAACCAATTTTGTTCCTTGGTGTATCGTTTAAACCCTTTACAACTGCTGAAACAAAAAGTATGAAGCTAAAGTGAAATAAATTTATTATACTCAACTGTATATTAATAACCTAAAAGTTTTTAAATACTAATATACTGTATGATAATCATTGAAACTGGACACAGTGGTGTCGTATGGGATGCACAGGCAGTTTGTCATCTGGTTCTTTTGTGGCCTCCAGATGTGACATTGCTTGTGAGGTTTGTTGCTGATCTCTGTATGTGGTATTTGTTTGGGAAAGCGATGCTCAGTCAGTCAGTTTAGGTCAGGACGTCCCAACACAAAGTACAGTATTGTGCTACAGTTTCCCATCATCTGATTTTTTTACAAGAGTTGGTCACATAGCTGATGATATTGCCAGTTAGATATTTATAGTAGTAATATCCATTTAACATAGAGAAACCTAGAAGAAAAAAAAATTTATCACTTGATGGATATCCCAATGCACATACAGCACATTGGGATATCCATCAAGGGTGCATTATCTAGGCAGTACATAGATTTTATTAAGGCTTTTCATACCAAATTTTTCTATATGCACAATCCTGTCTCTTCTTTAATATACATGCCACAGTACTTCATGCTTATGTCTTAAGTATTTGTGGCATTTGTTGCTCCTTAACCTCACAGTTCCACATGAAAAATTACTGTATTTGAAGAGCATAGGGCTTGTGCACCAATCAACAAGGTGGAGATATCACAATACAAAAAGCTGCTGGCTGAGGTAGTGATGCTTACTCGGGATGTGTTGTTTAAATATTAAGCTACCGGTAACTTTGTTTTCCGTCCAGTTGTCTCTGTCCAGGGATCAAGAAGTGAAGCTGACTGTGGTTGTTCTCTTTTGAGACCTTCATGTGATGAAAACCTCATTAGATGGCAGGGTCACACTTGATTTTAAATGGCTGAATAGATTTATTCTTGTTGAAGTTTAGAGTGAATTACTGCATTATTATTCAACAGTGAGATGGAGCTTGATGACCTATTGGTGTACTGTACTTCTAACTTGATGCCGTTTGGCTTATTAATAAGTCATTTAAGAAGTAGCTAAAGATAAGAGATAGATTATATCCAATTCACAGTTCTTCATTTGGCGTTGAAAGTCTCACAATCTTAATCAAGCTTTCAGATGTCCTTTTAAAGTTTTTGTGTTGTGGAATTGCTGAAAATAGGGCACAGACAAGAGAGAAAGATGCAGGAGGAAATAGTAAAGAGGGTGTGTTGAAAGGAAAGGTGGAACAATACATAAAGAGAAACTCAGAGATAAAGGGAGAAGGAAGAACAAAGGAGATGCTTCTGCCATGTTACAACACCAAATGTATTGTATTAAAAAATATCCAAAGTATCTCCAGGTTAGTGAGGTGACATAGATAAGATAACCACACCAATTACTGCAGTTTGACCCCAGAACCTGAATCACTGTTCACAGAAGTCCCTTGGGCGGCAATAGTCCGAGGTAAAACAAAAACTTGAGAAAATGGTTTTGGTGGAAATTAATGCACTCAATTATTTTAAAACTTAAATTAATCTTGAAAAAAAAATGGAGACAGTTGTGAAGAAAGAGATGGATAAATGAGGTTTAATAATAAATGGTGAAGATGGCCAAGAGGATAAACATATACAGACCATTTTTGATGAAACCAAGAGGCACCCATGAGAGGTATGGTATTAAGAGAATTCAAATAAACTGCAGAAAATTGGTGAATTACATGAAGTTTAGTGTCTCCAGCTTATTCCACTTGATTAAATACAGTAATGTTACCTGAGAGAGGGTGTTAGGTTAGGCTGAGCTGAGCTAGATTAAGTTAGACTTGGCAAGGTTAGATTGGGCTATGTTAGGTTAGACTGGGCTATATTAGGTTAGACTGGGCTAGATTAGGTTAGACTGGGCTAGATTAGGTTAGACTGGGCTAGATTAGGTTAGACTGGGCTAGATTAGGTTAGACTGGGCTAGATTAGGTTAGACTGGGCTAGATTAGATAAAGGCAACTGCTGGCAGCTGATGTTCCTACAAGGTTCAAGGAGTGACCTGCACAAGGGACATAAAATGCCAGGGGATTCATAGCCTTAATTCTGGCTTGTAGACCAGTGTAAATGCCTGACATATTGGCAGCATTGTCATAACTCCGCCCTCTCATGTCACTCAAATCAAAACCAACATCTTTAATTAACTGTACAACAGTTGAGGCTATGCCCTCTGCACCATGGTCATGTATGTCTGTGAACTTTAGAAATCGCTCAACAGGTTTGCCATCAGGTTTGACATAACGAACTATGAATGTAAGTTGGTCAGTATGACTAACATCCGGTGTGGAATCTACACTAACTGAATGATATTTGGCTTGTTTCACTTCACTTATGATAATTGAGTGAATTTCTTCAGCCATCAGATTGACCATTTCCTCACAAATCGTTTTTGAGAGATATGAAGTCTTTCCACTACCTACAGCACCATACTTCTCCAGATGCTGTGCAAGAAAAGGATCAAATTTTGCCAGGAGTTCCAGTACAAGAAGGTAATTCCCATTGTTGCTGGAGCCTATTCTTTCATCACTACCTCTGAGAGGAAGACCTCTTGATGTTAAAAATTTTAGTGTTTCAACTCTGTGCAATAGAACTTCTTTCCAGTATTTTCTCTCCAATTCTACTTGCAAAGCCAAAGTGGAATCAATTCGCCCTGCTGTAATTGCCCTCACACCCCAAGTAGTACCGGGAACTGAAATTTTATGCTCTTTGCTACTTTCATGTTCAGCAACTCTATGCTGGCAGTTTTTCCATTCGCTAAACCCACTAGTAAACAATGAGACTAGCTTGCTGAATAACTTGCATGAAACACAAAATACATCTCCAGTTTTTTGGATAATATACAAGCCATTCCCTTTTAACTTTTTCATCATTTGCCATTTGACGTTTAAACAAGGATTTGGGCACATATCGAACTCTTTCCTTTTCACCCACATTTTCACTTCTTGCAGATCTTGAGAAGTCACCTTGTTCACAATTTAGATCAAGAGGAAGGTTTAATAAAAACTCAATCAGTTTATCATCAATTGTCAGCCAGTCAGCTGGATCACTTGATACACACAAATCAACACTGACACCTTGTACCACAGAATGTTTCTTATAAGTCAACTGAGATGAATCGGATGAAGCTTGAGTCACAGGTGGTACTTCCATTGCTGTAGGTGCTGATTTACTTAATCTCTGTGACTGTGACTCAGCTGACCTCGCTTCGTCATCTGAATCATGAAAGTGAACATCTACTGTGTCATCCCCTGGGAGTTTACTGTCACTGGTACTTGGCTCTGAATCTCCTTTTGGTTTAAAAAATGTTGTCAGCTTTGGAACTGATTGCAGTTGTGCAGCTTTGGCTACCTTTAACTTTCTCTTTTGTGAGCCACTCAGATATTTTTTCAGGGACGACATATTTATCTCATGAGAATCCCCAAGAATAATCTGTAAGCAAAAAAATACTGTAAGTCTATAAGAGATACCAATATCACAAAAAATAGACACAAAAACACACGTAATATAACACTGAAGTCCATTTAATGCAACATGTAAAAGATCTTTAGTAAATAATGAGTGCCGCGTACACAATATAAAATATCACTGAGCTGAGGCTGAGAAGATACTGACTGGCTGAGCGAGCTGTCAGCAAACCAAAGGTAACCCTGACACGTACTGAACGTGAAACGATCCTGTCCTTCACACGTCAAGGCGCTGAAGGTTTCTTCAACTCTCTCTCTCTCTCTCTCTCTCTCTCTCTCTCTCCAGTATACAGGTTGACAATCCCTT